TATTTTTGTCTTTGCATTTTCCCTCTTAAGCCTAGATACCGAGCTTCTGAATCTACCAGTTTCTCCTCAACCTCAAAACCCATATTTTGTTGAAAATCCAATTGCAATTCTTTTAGCCCTCCTATTGCTGAATCCGCATAATGCCAGGTTGGATAGTTGCCCGAATATAGCTTTACATTGGTATCATAACATAGGTATGTCATCTATAGAATGTTGATGTACTTCCCTCAGTATCTTATGTCTTTTAGTCGGAGAATTTAAACCTTTCATATTATAGGTCATAAAATTAATCAAACTCATGTCTGTTTACTATTTTGTTTCCCCTCTACATTTTCATTTCCAGGTAGGAGGACATAGGCTATTCAAATCATGGACATCTACCCTATCCCACCCCACACCTCACCACTTCCCACACCTCGCCCCCCTTTCCATCCAATACCCAACTTGCTCTTAAGAACCCTCTAGCCTATATATTGCCCTGGAATCTGACGCGGGATTCCCCCACTAGTGATTCCTATTTTAGGATATGGCTCTGTACATGCACACCTGTCCTGATCCCCCTCTCTCAACATGGGTTTTTTTTTTTATTTTGTGTCCTGTTAGGCCTCCAGACGTCCCGCCATATCTAACATATCTTACTCCGGCTTCCTCAATGAAACCAGATGGGGAACAGAGGGGAGGGCAGACGAAGGGAGGGGAGGAGAGAGGTGGAAAAGGAAACAAACTAAAAAAAAAAACACACAGGGGGAAACCATCCCATTGGGAATAGGGGACCTAGATCCCCAACCCAAAGGTCAACACTATTGGCTTCCCCTTCCTCACCCCTCCTGTCCCCCGACCCCACCTCTGGCTATATTCTCCTTTTATTTACTTGCTGCCATTTCTCATTTCTTAACTCCGCTCTCTCATTAGACCCTTCTGACCACCCAACAATAACCATATTCTGTAGTTCTAGTTTTTAACAAAAGTCTCTTAGTTCTTCTGGGAATCTCAGCCTTGCTGATTTCCCATCTTTCCACCCGATCAGGCACTCCGGGAACCCCCAGTTATACCGAACTCTTTTATCTCTCATCTGATCCAATAACGGTTTCAGCAATCTTCTTCTCGACAGAGTCTCAGCAGCTACATCTGCAAAAACTTGCAACTTCATTTCTCCAAATTTTATTTTGGTTGTCTCACGCAATTTTTTCCATATTCTCTCTCTGTCCTCATAATGAAAATGGACAATCACATCTCTTGGAAGTTCTGATGTAATTCCTGGCGGACGTCTAGTTCTATGCACTCTCTCAATTTTTAATGGGTCTGTATCTGATCTTCCTATCAATAGGTTAAACACACTTCTTATTTTTTCCTGCAGGTCCTCTTCTCTTGCATCTTCTGGTAGGCCCTGAACCATCAAGTTATTTCTTCCTTCTCTGGTTCCTCTAAATTGTATGATAACGTCCTCTGTTCCTTTTTTAACTCTTCCACCTGCATTTCCAATTTGATAATCTGCTGGGCCTGGTTTTCCATTTTTCCTTGCACTTCTTCCACTCTTGTTAACATTCGTCCCAGATCCTTATGAATCACCGGCATTTAATTTTTCATGGAACGTTCCAATTTTGCGAACATTTCCACCATCTCGGTTTTTGTAGGAATTTGAGATATAGTTCCCTGTTGTTCCATCACATTTTGCTCTATTACTTTATCAGTATTTATAGATTAATTCGTCAAATTTCCATCCCGCATTCCAAATGACAATCTAGTTTGCTCCCCATCATATTTTCTGCTTCCTTCCTGTTGTTTCTCAGGGCAATGTATCTCGGGACTTTTTTCCTGTATTGGCATATATTTCTTAATTGTACTCATGTTTTAATTCGATTGCGGGGTTTTTACCCCTCCTCCCTTAGCGGGTCTACTCTTCATATTGATTGTGAGCAGCAAACAGATAACCAGCAGATAAGCTCAAACGATATCATCACACCTGTGTGAGGCCCCTCCTCCTAGATGTTCTCTGTCACATATACAGTCCTGTATAACTTTTAGAGAATATATTTGCACACTCCCTTAACCTCTGAGATCACCCAGCACCTTAATCTTCTGACCGCCCAGTCCCACCTCTCAGGTATACATTTACTTATAATAGAGACAAAACAATATTGGCGTAATCATCCGGCCGTTGCCCACGGCAACTCACCATCACCATCAGAACCTGGTATGCTGGCTCCATTTCTCTATGTGCTCTTCTGTCCCTTTCATTGTCTCTTGGCCCTGTATACAGAGTCACCCTGTGGGGGGGATCTAGGCAGGAATTCAGTCTGTTCAGAGTGTCCTGTGCTTACAGGTGTTCCATGGTCTCATGCTCCCTCAGGTATAGTTCCAGTCTGCAATCCCTTCTGGGATCCCTCCAGGATCGGTCCTCCTTTGGGATTCTGCCTTCCTCCTCAATCCACACTCCGCTGATAGGCACCGAACCCTCCATAGAGTCGGCGTCTGGAGCTTCTTCATGTCACAGGCTCACAGCGCCACGATCAGGCCCCTCTCCTCCGTGGGATCTGGTTTGACTAGCGGCTGCAAGTATTTTTGGGTATGTCTCTACCAGCTTTGCACATCTAGAGTGAAAATTTTGCCGATTCTTCTTTGCAAAATAGCTCAAGCTCTGTCAGATTGGATGGAGAGCGTCTATGAACAGCAATTTTCAAGTCTTGCCACAGATTCTCAATTGGATTTAGGTCTGGACTTTGACTGGGCCATTCTAACACATGAATATGCTTTGACCTAAACTATTCCATTTGTAGTTCTTATTGTTTAGGGTCGTTGTCCTGTTGGAAGGTGAACCTCTGTCCCAGTCTCAAGTCTTTTGCGAACTCTAACAGGTTTTCTTCTCAGATTTCCCTGTATTTGGCTCCATCCATCTTCCCATCAACTCTGACCAGCTTCCCTGTAGAAGAAAAGCATCCCACAACATGATGCTGCCACCACCATGATTCAACGTGGGGATGGTGTGTTCAGGCTGATGTGCAGTGTTACTTTTCCACCACACATAGCGTTTTGCTTTTAGGCCAAAAAGTTCACTTTTGGTCCCATCTGACCAAAGCACCTTCTTCCACATATTTGCTGTGTTCCCTACATGGCTTCTCACAAACTGGACTTTTTATGGCTTTCTTCTTGCCACTCTTCCATAAAGGTCAGATTTTTGGCCTGCACTACTAATAGCTGTCCTGTGGACAGATTCTCCCACCTGAGCTGTGAATCTCTGCAGTTCCTCCAGAGTTACCATGGGCCTCTTGGCTGCTTTTCTGATTAATGCTCTCCTTGCCCGGCCTGTCAGTTTAGGTGGACAGCCATGTATTGGTAGGTTTGCAATTGTGCCATACTCTTTCCATTTTCGGATGATGGATTGAACAGTCCTTTGTGAGATGTTCAAAGCATGGGATATTTTTTTTATAACCTAACCCTGCTTTAAACGTCTACACAACTTTAAACCTGAGCTGTCTGGTTTGTTCCTTGGGCTTCATGATGCTATTTATTCACTAGTGTTCTCTAGCAAACCTCTGAGGGCTTCACAGAACAGTTGTATTTATACTGAGATTAAATTACACACAAGGTGAACTCTTATTTACTGATTAGGTGACTTCTGAAGGTAATTGGTTCCGTTAGATTTTAGTTAATGGTATCATAGTAAAGGGGGCTGAATACAATTGCACACCACGCTTTTCAGATATTTATTTGTAAATAATTTAAAAAACCTTTTATCATTTTCCTTCCACTTCACAATTATGTGCCACTTTGCCACATAAAATCCCAATAAAATAAATTTACTTTTTTGGTTGTAACATGACAAAATGTGGAAAATTTCAAGGGTTATGAATACTTTTTCAAGGCACTGTATAAGGAACGTTTACCATCGTTACCAGAGACTCTGGTATCCATAGCAATCAGGTTCAGGGCTTGTTCATATCATGTCTGTTGACCTGTATTTTATTACAAAGCAATGCACATGTATGGTGTAAACTGGGCACTTGGAAAACTATTGTTGTGTTCTATTTTAATCATTCATGTGCAATGGTGTGCAGAAAAATGCAGCTCAGTGAAAATAATCCAAACAAGCCCTTATTCTCCTCTAATGTGCTAAAAGAATGAGGATCCTCAGTTTGCAGTGGTCAGTATATACACTGCTCAAAAAAATTAAAAGGAACACTTTTTAATCAAAGTATAGCATCGTCAAACTCCTGGGATATTGATCTGGTTAGTTAAGTAGCAGCGGGGTTTGTTAATCAGTTCCACTGCTTTGGTGTTAATGAAATTAAAAACAGGTGCACTAGATGGGTAACAATAAAGCGACCCCCAGAACAGGAACGATTTACAGATAGAGGCCACTGACATTTTTTCCTTACTCATCTTTTCTGACTATTTTTCACTAGTTTTGCATTTGGCTGGGGTCAGTGTCACTACTGGTAGCATGAGGCGATACTTTGACCCTACAAAGAATGCACAAGCAGTCCAACTCCTCCAGGATGGCACATCAATACGTGCTTTTGCCAGAGCTCTTGTCTCAAGAGCATGGAGGAGATTCCAGGAGACAGGCAGTTACTCTAGGAGAGCTGGACAGGGCCGTAGAAGGTCCTTAACCCATCAGCAGGACTGGAATCTGCTCCTTTGTTCAAGGAGGAACAGGGTGAGCACTGCCAGAGCCCTACAAAATGACCTCTAGCAGGCCATTGGTGAGAATGTCTCTGACCAAACAATAAACAAGCTTCATGAACAGTTTTCTTTGTGTCCTTGCAGAGGCATATGAAATAAATAAGCAAGTGTGTGTGAACAAGCCTTTGCAAGTCAAATCTGTGTATTTTTCCATTGGTTTTTATATGAACAAGGTCTAAAATTAAGAATATGCCCTGTTATGATGTTTGGAAAGAATGAAACTTATTGTGCACGCCAAATCTTTGCAGCAGTATACACAAGTATAGATTGTGTGATTACCTAGCTCATATATTTTGTTTTCTCTACCTGTTCTACAGGCCATTTTTGCACACACAGGACATGTACTTTGTGTTCGTGCAGCTGCTCTCCAGTGGATCTGCATGGTTTGCCATAATCATCGTCATCACTGCTTGTCTGTTTCTTGACGTCATGAAGAAGGTGGTGTACAGACACCTTTATCCTACAAGTACAGAGAAGGCACAGGTATCAAGAACTGTACATGGTCATCAGACTTTTTTTTCAGAAAGGTTATTTTAGTAAGAATTTCAATTTCTTGTAAAATGACAAACAAGATGTGAACCACTGTAGCAAATTCTAGATGTGCACAATGCAGTCTTTCAATAGCAATATTCAGCATTGCTTCATCAATCTATTCAAATATAAAAGGCTGGGGTAACCGTTATTAGGGTTCTGTTTGGTTTGCTATGTAGTACAAAGCAGAAGACAAACCATCAAATTAACAGAATGCTATTAATGCCACAGGAATGTTACACACATATATGCTACATAGCCATTATTTGCCTTTGTAAGTACTTGTCTTGTCTTTGTAAGTACTTGTCACAAATGGTTCTAATATTGTAATTTATTCCATTTTAACTATCAGGCTTGGGGAGTTGAGTCTCAAATTTAAAACGATATTAAACCAAAAAACAAACGTATTATATTGCAGTTTACCAATCAGATGTGGTGGCTGCATTCGTTTTTTTTTTTTGTTTTTTTTAAGTTTTGTTCCCCTTTTTTCACCTGGTGATCCAGCCGGTAAATATTTATTTTAACTTCCTTTTAACAGTCCAAGCTGTCCTGGAAAGTGGCAGTTAGTGGGTTCAGACAAACAGTTTAACACTTTTCTAGGGGTGCTTACACTGGACAACTTTAATTTATATAAAACTTTAATGCCGCAAGGGAAAAACCTGTTGCTGTAACTGCTTAAAAAACATGTTTACTTGAGTTCAACTTTAATTTGTTAGTAACTTATGTAAAGTCCATCTAAATCTGCTAGTGCCTCTAACACTGCACTCTATCCAGATTGACAATGCTGCTGTCCAAAGTGTCTCCATTGTTCTTCCAGTAACGTCAAGACACCTTAAGACAGGAGGTTTGGTACTCTCAGGATCACCAGGTAGTAAAGGGGAAAAGAAGCCTAAAAAATAAAATTATTAATGCAGCTGTCAAGCTTAAAGCAGAGCTCCAGTCTCCTGTGTAAAAGTTAGAAGCAGCTACTAAAACTGTAGCTACTGACTTTTAATAAACAACTACCCAACTGTCCTGCATTCCTGCGCTCTGCTTGGCCGAGAAGTTTTCTCCCTGTGTATGTGTGTCCCCGGCACTGGCATCTTTACTATGGGCACCTGGCTGTGATCCCTTGTGGCTTCTCAGCCGTTCGCCCACTGCTCATGCACAAGCAGCGCTGCACATTGTGAATGGTCCAGCAGTCAGCAGACACTTGTTGCGTGTCTCAGAAGACTGTGGGAGGGAGAGGGGAGGACAACTTCCACTTCTGATCGCCTAGGCAGTCGGAACAGAAGTGGGAGTGGAGCGGGTACCTATCAAAATTGGGTACCCACTCCTCCCCAAAAGCTCCAATTCACAAACAGGAGCTGGGGAGGGGGCCTAAAGTGGAACATCCCTTTTTGGGTGGAGCTCTTCTTTAAGCATTGGTAAGCTGCAATATATAGAATTTTTTGTTTTTGGGTTAATACCACTTTTTATTATTTCCTCTCTCCCAAATCCAACACCACAGTATTCTAATACGCTATATTGCCAAAAATATTGGGACGCCTGCCTTTACACGCACATGAACTTGAATGGCATCCCAGTCTTAGTCTGTAGTGTTCAACATTGAGTTGGCCCACCTGTTGCAGCTATAACAGCTTCAACTCTTTTAGGAAGGCTGTCCACAAGGTTTAGGAGTGTGTCAAAGGGAATGTTTGACCATTCTTCCACAAGCGCATTTGTCAAGTCAGGCACTAATGTTGGACGCGAAGGCCTAGCTCATAGTCTCTGCTCTAATTCATCCCAAAGGTGTTCTATTGGGTTGAGGTCAGGACTCTGTGCAGCACAGTCAAGTTCTTCCACCCCAAACTCGCTCATCCATGTCTTTATGGACCTTGCTTTGTGCACTAGTGCACAGTCATCTTGGAACAGGAAGGGGCCATCCCCTAACTGTTACCACACAGTTGGGAGTATGAAATTGTCCAAAATGTCTTGGACTGTTGACGCCTTTAGAGTTCCCTTCAATGGAACTAAGGGGCCAAGACCAACCCCTGAAAAACAACCCCACACCATAATCCCCCCTCCACCAAACTTTACACTTGGCACAATGCAGTCAGGCAAGTACTGCTGGCAATCACCAAACCCAGACATATCCATTGGATTGCCAGGGAGAGAAGCGTGATTAGTCAATCCAGAGAACACATCTCCACTGCTTTAGAGTCCAATGGATGCGTGCTTTACACCACTGCATCCAAGGCTTTGCTTTGCACTGGATGATGTAAGGCTTGGATGCAGCTGCTCAGCCATGGAAACCCATTCCATGATGCTCTCTACGCACTGTTGTGCTAATCTGAAGGCCAAATGAAGTTTGGAGGTCTTTAGTTTGAGTTCACTGAACTCCTGAGAGCGACCCATTCTTTCACAAATGTTCGTAGAAGCAGCGTGCATGCCTAGGTGCTTGATTTTTACACCTGTGACCATGGAAGTGGTTGAAGCAAACGGAATCCAGTGATTTGGAGGGGTGTCCCAATACTTTAGGCAATATAGTGTAGTTCTCCTCTAAGACCTATAAAATTCTATGGGAAACCACTAAAAGCAAAGAAGATTGGCCCTAGGAGGGCTAAAGGTACAGGGTCTTTATTGGAAATTTCTAGACGGTTTGTTACAGGAAAGTTGCATTGGGGGAGATATAGAATCACAGTTGGAAACTGGAATTTCTGTGGACATTTTTTATACAGCAATAAATGTTTTAGAGTCATTTTTATGGGTAATCAATTACGATAGCCTTATTGCACTATGTAAATACTTTCATAATCCAGCAATATGAATTATTTTAAACTTGAAAAATATTACAGAAGCCGAACTCTGTAGATTGTTACTTATATGGGTGGCTTGGCATCGCAATATTTTAATACCAATATATTTGTTTTGCAAGTATCTAGCATGATTTTAAATGCTTTTGTTACATACAAATGTCAGCAATTCAATCTAGTACAGTAAGAAAAATTCAAGTGAACTGTAATCTACCATAATAAAGTTTTGACGTGTGTACATGTCAACTATAGCCTTGCCTGTTTTTTTTATTTTTACTGTGTAATCCTTAATGTTTTTTTATGAAAATAACGTATAGAAATATCAGTCTTTGATGTAAATGAGCCCCCTTATATGTAGATCGATTAGTCTGCATTTTAATTTTGTTGTAAGGACAGGTGTTCAGAATGAAGATGTGTGGCAAGCAATGTGTTGCCCACAGAAATATTCTAGAATGGCAAGCAAATTTACTTTGTATTGCATTACATTTCCAATATTTTACTGTGCATGATGATACACAAGTCTTTTTTCTTCCCACTACTTGCTTTTAAAATGTGTTGAAGTTCCTCACCCATGTTTGAAATGACTAATTCTTATTGACATGATGTGTGTTACATAACTTTTCTGTCCACCTATAGATGTATTCCAACAGAGTTACTTTAAGTGACGAGTTCATCGCCCTGCAGCCTCTGTCACGGGCAAGGAATCAGCTGAGCAAAATTAGGTAGAGTAGGAGGGGAGGTTCCTCATCCACTTTATTTGTTATGCATGCTGAGGCTCTACTAACCAGCACTTAGAGAGATGGAGCGAGGCATGAGTACCATTATGTTAACAGCCAGAGCTGCCAGCTGTTCAGTTTGCTATTCCTTTTATTTATTTATTTTATCAGGTCCAAGAGCCTGCAATAAGAGTGCATGTCGTGCGTTAAAATCCCTAGCATGACACTCTGATAACAGACCTACTGTGCTATTGTGTTACTTTTCTCAGCATGATTTGAGCGCTTGTTGATGGAGGATAAACGTACAATTAAAACTATATTTGGTGCATGCTAGATAATTCTAGGCTGCAGAAGGCAGGCCAGCTATATGTTTTATGGTTTATTTTTTGAGTGGTGTTTGTTTCTTTGGATAAAATTTCTTTGTGCTTGGGCTTTCAGTGTGCATTCACACTATGTTCCACTGTAAATGTATTTTTATTTGTACTTTCTTTTTCACAATTATGACTCATGGGTTTGAAAACAGAGCAGTAGGAAGCAACACACTGAAAAAAAAAAAAAAAAAAAAGAAAAGAAATGATGTTATATAGAGAATTCTCATTGTACTATGCAGTTTGTGCTGTATTTCAGTAGGTAAAAATAAATCTAGGATTTCTATTTTTTAAAAATTCAATTTGAAGCAGCTACTGGAGTGGGTGTGGTAAACTGCTGGAGCCTCACTGAAGTACTGTTATTATTAACAAAGAAAGTTATGAATTTTATAGTTTGAACATAATGAGACCTGAAACTTATACCGAATATTAATTCAGCTCCCACACCTGTACACTGCCTATGGATTTCCAGCTATGGGCCTAGTAATTAAGCCGTAAGTTTGAAGACTGAAGATAAGATAATTCATAGGTAAAACATACTGTATATCCACAAAGGGGGCTTTCTTTTGGTAATACTGCCTCCAAAATATGATTTCCTTTTTTACACAGTCTATAGACAAAAATGTGAAAAAAAATAGACTTTTTTTTCTAGTTTGACTAGCATTGATTTAAAAAAAAAAAAAAAAAAAGTAAATGTCGATAATAGGTATAAATTGTAATCCATAATTTGAAATCCTATTTAACATTACACAAAGATGATTCTGGCACAAAGCAGAGCAAAATTATTTACAAATGAAAGCGAGGCTTTTTATTTTTTTTTTCAATTATGTCCTTTTTAATGCGACATTAAAAAAAAAAAAAAAAAGCAAAAAAAAGCTAAACATATGATTCCTGCTGCTGCCATGTCATCTCTTAGAATACAGTGGGGATAATAATTATTTGATCCCCTGCAGATTTTGTAGGTTTGCCCACTTACAAAGAAATGAAAGATCTATACATTTTTATCATAGGTGTATTTTAAATTATAGAAACAGAATATTAACCAAAAATCCAGAAAAAAAACACATGATACAAATGTTATAAATTGAGTTGCAGTTCAGTGAGTAAAATAAGTATTTGATCCCCAAGAAAAACATGACAGTACTTGGTGGAGAAACCCTTGTTGGCAAGCACAGAGGTAAAATGTTTCTTGTAGTGGTTACCAGGTTTGCACACATCTCAGGAGGGATTTTGATCCACTCTTTACAGATCTTCTCTAAATCCTTAAGGCTGTTGCTTGGCAACTCAAAGTTTCAGCTCCCTTCATAAATTTTCTGTAGGATTAAGGTCTTGAGACTGGCTAGACCAATCCATTACCTTAAGGTGCTTCTTCTTGAGCTACTCCTTTGTTGCCTTGGCTGTATGTTTTGGGTCATTGTCATACTGGAAGACCAATCCACTACCCATCTTCAGTGTTCTGACTGAGGGAAGAAGGTTCTCATCCAATATTTTACGTTACCTGACCCCATCCATTGGCCCCTCAATGCAGCAAAGTCGGCCTGTACCTTTAGCAGTGTCTTGGAAATTCGCTTTAACGAATTTCTCCTTACCGTGAGTACTCGCAGTTGGATGCGCAGAAATCCCCCATAAAGCTGTGCGAATCTCGCTTACCACGACTGCAGCTAAACTACACGATTCCTGCCCATCCAACTACTTTAGCTTCTGTTGAAATGTGGGTGATGGAGCTCCGTTACCCTAGAATGATCACACGACATTCTCAGGTTGATGGTTGAATTCACATAAGGGCCGGCTTCAGACTCAGCCCTCGGTTTTATTACAAGCACACACATGCCCCCCACATGAATAAAGTCAATCCCCTCCCACCGAACAATGCAATGGGGAGTGCCTATACACAGGATGTACATTCCGATTGGAGCATAGTCTTTCCTATTATCTATCACTGGTCCTCCCCCATGAGCCTTCTGAGGTCAGCAAACTTCCTCCCCTTCCCCCCCCATGAGCCTTCTATGGAGGGCATATTTCCTGTCCTACTAGCTCCTATTGGTATGTAAATTCTTTGTACAAGCATTCCCTAAGCTAAACACCAGTCTGTACCTGGATGGGCCCGGTACGATCTTTATTAAAACACATCCATCCAAGATACAGTTTCAAGTTGGTAATGGGTTGTAAGATATGCATAAGCCTACACGCGGAGTTCGTACTGCTTGGCGCCTTGCGGCACGAAGTTCATGTGGTACTATGCTGCTGATATGTGGATACAGGCCCGCGGTCTACTGCCAGCGGCATTCGCATCGAATGCCGTGGTGGTATACACGCCGGTCTATAAGCGCAGATCCGCCATCTCATCCATTACCGAGCTGAGTACTGTAATACATACATTGTACATGCGCATGGCCCAATTGCAGCCTTCAGAGCTTTAATTAAGCCACACGAGAGACATATGAATAACACTCATATATGACACATTTAAAGTTCGACCAACAATACAAAATTTCCATGACAGCAGAGAAACAGACCCAAAGCAGAATGTTTCCACCTCCATGCTTGACTGTAGGGATGGTGTTTTAGGGTCACAGTCAGCATTTTTCTTCCTCCAAACACGGTGGGTTGAGTTAATGCCAAAGAACTCAATTTTGGTCTCTGCTGACCACAGCACTTTCTCCCAATCCTTCTCTGAATCATTTAGTTGTTCTTTGGCAAACTTCAGACAGGCCTATACATGTGCCTTCTTGAGGAGGGGGACCTTGCGGGTGCTGTCGGATTTCATCCATGGCGACGTTTGTGTTACCAATGGTTTGTTTGGTGACTGTGGTCCCAACTGCCTTGAGATCATTCACAAGCTCCCGTAGTTCTAGGCTGATCCCTCACTTTTCTCATGATCATCCTTACCCCATAAGGCGAAATCTTGCATGGAGCTGCAGATCGAGGCCAATTGATGTTTATTTTGTATTTCTTCCATTTGCGAATAATCGCTCCAACAGTTGTCTCATTCTCACCAAGCTTCTTGCTGATGGTCTTGTAGCCCATTCCAGCCTTGTGAAGGTCTACAGTCTTGTCCCTGATGTCCCTTTGACAGCTCTTTGGTCTTGCCCATGGTGGTAAGGTTTGAATAGAAGAAAGAGATTCTGTGAATAGGTGTCTTTTATACACAGAACGAGTTGTCATTAGAAGCACCTTCTGAAATTGACAGGACTAATCTGTGTACCACATGAGCACATTGCCAGTCTGTGGGAACCAGACTTATTGTTGGTTGGTAGGGGATTAAATACTTATTTTACTCACTGAATTGCAGCTCATTTTATAACATTTGTATCACGAGTTGTTTCTGCATTTTTGTTTGATAGTCTGTCTCTATCATTTAAAATACACCTATGTTAAAATTATAGACCCTTCATTTCTTTGCAAGTGGGCAAACTTACAAAATCTGCAGGGGATCAAATAATTATTGTACTCTGTATGAAGAGAAGAGAGCAGAACTGCATATGGGACAACACTGGATCGGTGGAGGAGTTGGGAAAGTGCTTAAGGATAGATGGGGGGGTCAAGTGGTGGGAAGTTTTTTACCTTAATCCAGGGAATGCATTAAGGAGGAAAAAAGGTTTTAACTTGAAAACCACTGTACCTGTTGAAAACAGCCAGGAATCTTTGTTTTTATGCAATTAGAGATAGGACACAAAGTGTTTAAAATCCAAATGGTTCAGTATAGGTTACCAATCACAGGGAGAGAGAACTGCAGCAGTGATGGTGAGTGCTCTCCTAGTCTTCCTGCTCTCAGGTAACTGCCTACCTGTACAGGCAGGCAGCTATGCAGAGAGTCTGAGATTGCACCTGCAATCTGCTGTTCATGGGTACAATGCTGCAGGCCCCTTAGAAAAAAATAAATGCGTGCACAGAAATTTGCATTTATTTATTTTTTTCAAAAGGTGAACTTGTCTTTTAAGAGATTTACATAGGGATGGATCTGATCTGCAGTTTTGAAAACCACAGTTTAGAAAGTTGATTGTGATTTTTTTTTTTTCTTTTAACTCCAAGCTGTAGTATGAATAACAAAAGCTAATACTTAAAGTATACCTAAAGCTGGAAATTCAGGATGTGAAGTGTCCCTATTGAAAATCTTCCCCTCTATTGTTGCTTAAGTCACAGCTCAAAATTCCTGGTTATTAGAACAAATAGAGATGGTGAGTCGCGACTGTGAAGACAGACAATAAAAATTTGTCAGGCTTGCAAACCCTTCCCCACTCTCTCCAAAAAAATGAAAAGTTGTTGCTATTGTACTTCTAAATACCAATTTTATCACTACAAGAAGGATGCCTAGCTGCCCATGTAAATGGAATTGCCTATAGCAAAAAGCCACTGTAAAAAATTAGATGAGAGAAGAGTTGTTCCTTTGTTTTTGTGCTTCTCTTTTTTTTTTTTTTTTTTTTGCTGTACACTTTGGTTGGGGACATAGTAAGTTTTTGATCATAGTCATTTGTATGGCTCTTAGTAAATCAAAATGACAACATGTATCCATCTGGAAAATTAGCAAACTCTTTTGAGACAGGCTTTAACTCGCAGCCTAGCGCTTAAAAGTCAAATAAAACAAGGGAGGTAGCTTTGTGTCTAAATAATTTCCCTTCTTGCTGTCAGAGTGTGGTG